GGCCTTTGGAACATATCTTGCTGCGTGGGACAAAAAAATAATTATATATATATATCTATATCTATATATATATATATATATATATATATATATATATATATATATATATATATAGGATAGATCCAAGATGTCTTGGGATGTTTTTAAAGCAAGTGTAGTAACGTACTTATTGATTCATACTCTCTTATCTATATTCGATAACGTTCTAAAAAGTGCTCAGACTGACGTAGTTATCAACATGTAATTAAAGTGTTTCTTCAACGTTCGATTTATTTATTGATATACAGTTCTGTTCGATAAAAGTGACTCACCTGACTTTTTTTACTTAAAAATGTTTTCGCCTATTGTTCTTGGGGTCAAACTAATTTTTAATCTTACTAATATAAAGCCCGCTACCCGACCACCTAGTAAAAAAATTACTGACACTAAGGTATTCTCTTGATAATTAAAATTATATAATAATAGATTCGGTGCAAAAAAAGTGACTCACTTATTTCCTGCAACTAGTAATCAATAGAAACATAACCGCACAGCTTTAAATAAAGAATAATAGAGGTATAATTTATTTATAATAGGTAATATAGTTCGAAATATTTAATAATCTATGGGTCCTCCTTTATTTTGAATAACCTTTTCAACCCTTTTTGGCATTGACTTGATTAGCTTTTGGCAAATATCATCTCCAAGCATTGAATTTCATTCGGATGTGAAATTCACAATCAAATCCTCTTTGTTGCTCAACTGCTTTCTCGAGAGCCTGTACTTTATAATACTCCATAAGTTTTCTATGGGGTTGAGGTCAGGAGATTGGGGCGGCGATGTCATAACACTCATCACCTTCTCTTCAAAGTATTACTTCATCAATTTTGATTTGTGACAGGGAGCATTATCCTGCATAAAAATGAGCTTGGTGGGGTCGATTTGCACCCTTTCAGAAGAAGGGAGCAGACAAGACTCTAAAATTCTCTTGTACTGCTCACTCCTGAGGGTCTTTTCAATAGGTTTTAAGAAACCAGTTCCATGAAAAGAAAAGCATCCCTAGAACATTATACTGAACGGATGCTTGACAGTACTTACTGCTAAATTCAAAGAGCTTTCAAAGCGTCTTATTTTCGTATTTTAGATCGCTTATCCTTTGAATTTAGCTCAACTTTCGTTTCATCAGAGAAGAGAACATTTAGTAAAAAAAAATCAGGTGAGTCACTTTTATCGGGCAGCACTGTACATTCCTCGCTACGAGGTTAGAAACATAAAAATAGTTTCGCGGCCGTATCTGCTTAAATGATCGATTAAAGAAAGAATTATGACCGCAAAAGATTAATGCCGATTTTCTAAGCCTAGTTTAGATGTGACACAAAGCGGAATCTCTTATCACTCTTAATAGATCCAGTCAAACAAGTTTGCTCGCCATTGCATCACGTCGAAGTTCCCCCATTTAAATGTATATGTATTAATATGGAAAAAGAATGAAGCTTTTCAATAATATATACATATTATTTCGAATTCACCTTTTGTGCCGGACAACCTTTGAAAGACGGGAGGGGGATGACATTCTGACGTGTGGTCAAAACAGATGCATTGGGCTATCAAGTTTGCGAACCACTACATTAGTTTTGTGGCTTCCAAATTCTTTCAGAAATTACCTAAAATGTTTAAATCTGTCACCTCTAAGTACCTCAAAATGATTTTTAATGCGTAAATATGATGTTGCACAAGGCCAAATGCATAGAGCACCCATTGACAATCAGTTGTAATTGATCTAGCAAGACAATCTTGCTGCGTATTACCCTACGCCGAAATGTTCGAGGACACATTTCATAATTTTCTAAGCTACGTTTATATGTGGCACAAGGAAAAATGTATGGAGTCCCAGTGAATATCGAACTCACTAGTGAGTCTAATACCATTAGCCAGAGAAGTGCCCTTTTTATTTCTCGTGTAGCTTAGATGTGGCACTCGGTCAAATGTATAGGGCAGTTAGTGAGAATCAAACTCATTATTCAGTTGTAATTGATCTAGCAAGACAACGTTGTTAACCATTACACGACCTTAAAGTATCCTTTTGACTTTCTAGCGTATCATAGATATGGCCCTCGGCCGAATGCATAGGGCACCTAGTGAAGATCAAACTCACTATTCAGTCGCAATTTATCTAACGAGACAAGCTTGCTAAACATTACATGGTGTTGATGTGCCCGTGGGCAAATTTCATAGTGATTTTCTAAGCTACGCTTAGATGTGACACAAGGGCGAATGCATGGGGCACCCAGAGAGGATCGAACAGACTATTTAGTCGTAATTGCAAGACAAGCTTGCTAACCATTACAATTATTAAGTTCTTTTGATTTCCTAGCGCAGCTTAAAGATGGCAGAAGTTCGAAAGTGTGGAGCACCTAGTGAGGTTCGAACTTACTATTCAATCGCAATAGCGACAGAAGCTTGCTATCCATTACGAGACATCGAAGTGCTCTTTTAACTTTATAGCGTAGCTTTGATGTGGCACACGGCTGAATATACAGGGCACCCGGTGGGGATCAAACTCACTATTCAGTCGTAATTGATGTAGCGAGACAAGATTGTTAACCATTACACTCCGTCGAAGTGGCCTTGGATAAATTTCATGGTGGTTTTTAAGCTACGCTTAATACATGGCACAAAGCGTCAGGTCGGAACTGACTATTCAGTCGTAAGTGATCTCGCGAGAGAAGCTTGCTAACTATTACATAACGTCGATTTTTTTTTTTTGACTTTGTAGCATAGCTTAGTTGTGGCACAAGGCCGAATGTATAGGGTACCCAGTAAGGATGAAACTAACTATTAGTTTGGTGCATAAATAATGACGTAATAATGTCGTTTGGGGAGGTATTTTTAACGTCAAAAAACGTCATTATTACGTCATTATTTTTGCACCAACCTAATATTTAGTCGTAAATTATTTTTTTTAGTAATATTCATACAATACAATGCCCAAGAGCCACTCCAGGTATATGGTTAATGTGCGGACTTAAATTCGCTTAGGATGGAACAAGTGTTAGGAGGATAGAGCTGAAGCAGACTTAAAAGTTAACGGGAAACAAGGTATAAACATTTACTCCTGTTCAAAGATCCAGAAAGGAGCGCCAACCGGATGAGTGAGACTAGCTCGCTCTCCATTCCACCACGTCGTCGAAATGTCCATGCAGCGGATTAATGGGTTCTAGAAAGTTCTAGATGGGAAAATATTTACCCTACACATTTTTATTTTGCATGGTAAGCGTATTTGCATTTCTCGAAGAGTTTTTTTATTTTCTTTTACGCAAATTCTTTTTTTAAACATTAACTCAAGTTATATATTTCACTTTTTCTTTATCTCTGATTCCAAAAATTTCAGTAGTTTTATTATAGGTGTTTATATTTTTTGATGATTTTTAAAATGTTTCTTTGGCTCCATATTTATATATTTTGTTTTTTGGGAGGCGGGGAAATGATTGAAAGAATTTATACTCGAAATAGTGGTATTTTGTGTACTGTGGTCCGTTTCCGCAGACTGTCCAACCAATTTGAGAATATATTCTTCTTTTATTTATACGTGTTTATTTATTTTTTTTATTTCTGTGAGTTCTTTTTTACAACTTGATGCAGTTATTTCATTTTTTTTTTCTTCGACCCTGTTTGTCTAGAACAAACTATTCTCGCTTAAAAACGTCATAAATCATTACGAAAAAAAATACAGTTTAAATAGTTACGCTTAAAATGGCATCTTATAAATGGTCTAGAATTTTTTTATTCATTCATTTTAGTAGAAATATTATGATCAATAATAATGATGATGAACGCAATATCGCGACCTACTTCCTTGTTAGGATTACTATCGATTTTTAAATGGAGGTTCTCGTTGGTAAAAGGAAATCTTATCGACGAGCCGAGTTCAAATTTCATCTACGAACGTGTAGGTTCCATTTGCTTGTTTCTGTTTGGGAATAACGTGAATGAATATCATCTTTTTCCCTCTTACATTTTAGCGGATGTGCAACTCTGAGTGGCGTAATGTTTATCAAGTTTGTTTAGCTATAGCAATTACGATTGAGTAGTGAGTTCGATCCTCACGCGGTGCCCATATTTCGGTCTTGTGCCACATCTAAGCTGGGCACCTCGAGACGGTGTAATATTTATGAAGCTTGTCTCGCTAGAACAATTACGACTCGGGGGTGCCCATATTTTAGGCCTTGTGCCACATCTAAGCTGGGCACCTCGGGACAGTGTAATGGTTAGGAAGCTTGGCTCGCTAGAACAATTACGACAACAGTGTATTCAGTTCTCACTGGGTGCTCATACATTAGGCCTTTTGCCACATCTAAGCTGGGCACCTCGGGACGGTGTAATGGTTAGGAAGCTTGTCTCGCTAGAACAATTACGACAACAGTATATTCAGTCCTCACTGGGTGCTCATACTTTAGGCCTTGTGCCACATCTAAGCTGGGCACCTCGGAACGGTGTAATGGTTAGGAAGCTTGTCTCGCTAGAACAATTACGAGTCAGCAATGTGTTCGGTCCTCACTGGGTACCAAATACTTTGCTACATCGAAGCTACAAAAAAATCACTTTGTCACCTCGACACACACACACATCTTTAAATATATATATTTGCTAGAACAATTACGACTGAGTAGTGAATTCGATCCTCTTGTGTTCCTCATACTGTTTGGCTTTGTGCCATATCTGAGCTACGCTTAGAAAATCCCCTATATATTGTAAAGAGAGAAATAAATACAGATTGACCTACCTAACATAAAGAATCATCTGAGTCGTTTAATGAGACGACAAGATAGTTCGCTGTCTCTGTAAAAGAAAGCAAATAACTGCCCTACCAAAACAGCTGACGCGAACCTTTTGACGTTTATATATATATATATATATATATATATATATATATATATATATATATATATGAAACCAAAATTGCCGGCTATCTCACTCATTCGCTCCACTGGAACGTCGCTACCTGTGGCTAAAGAGGCACAATGCGCGAATGGCGGTTTCTGTCACAATTCATATCTGGGAATTGTCTCTGTATTGTCTATCCTGCAGTATTCTTTTCAGCGACCCGGTTTGTCTTCTGTTGCGTTGTTCACTTTCTCCTCGCCTTACATTTGTTGTTTAGTCAGGATGCTTCACCATCCAGGACGGTCTGTAGCAAGGCCATCTCAGTAGTCACTGCTGATCTTTTCTGGGTATAAAGAAATAAAATATCTACAAGCTCCCACGAAATAGAGAGCTGACCGGTGTTAGTTATGCTAATGATACGGTTTGATAGCGCTAATGTGTTGTGCTCGATAAAAGCATGCAAATCATTTTTGTTTTTTTTGTTTTTTTTTCTCGTGGGAGGGAACACTAGAGCGAAAAGATCGCATGGCGACTTTGTCACCACTTGATATTTGCGTTAACGTTACGATTGATTGATAAGGTTTGTTCGACGACCGAGCGACTCTTTAGGCAAGTTGCTTGTTTTAATTTCCTGTTGTTGTTGTTTTTTTTTTTTTTGTATTACTGATTTCTATTTGAAAAGTTAATGTTTTTTTTTTCATATCCAGATGGACGAAGAGGACGTCTCCCGGTAAGTAAAGACCATTTACCAAAACCCATATAAAGGTAGGGAGATTGATCGGGGGAAAACCCCATAATGAAGGACCTAGCAAAATGCGTCCCATCACTGGAACAGGCAAACGAAGGAGTTAAAACTGAGGACGCCGAAAACATTGAACTCACCCAGCACGCTGGGCAGCATAACTCTACAAGCTGCGATGGATAAATTATCGTCTAAATTACGCTAAAATGAAAATAATACTGACATTTTAATATATATATATATATATATATATATATATATATATATATATATATTAGCAGAATTGCACCAAAATATTTTGAAATGCTAAAGAGGAGATTTAGTCAATAAAATCACCATTAGCTTCAACCACGGCATCCAGATGACTTCAGAATCTCCTGCAACGTTTCTGAACTGTTTCCACCATCCTGGGTATGACGGTAAACTACATCTACGTCCTGGGTAAGGCGATAAACTACGTCCAACAGCAAGGCCTCTGAACAGGGTGTTTTGAGGAGCGTTGAAACACCTTTTAATTGCTGGTTTTCTCAGGTCGACCCTGACCAGGGTTGTTTGCACTTGTTAGCAAATATGAAAATTACCATAAAATAGTTTTTTGAAGAAAAAAAATATTACGAAATATAAAAATTTTGTTGGCATTAAATAACCCATTAAATTTGTTATGCCGTAAAACAAAAGAAACCAAATTGGAATGTTTCCCTGTTTAAGTTGGTAAATGGTGCCCAAATCCTTGCCTTCAATTAATCTGTGGTGTTACAAGGAGTGTTACTAGCATGGTGCAAATCTTGCTGCCAAACATAGGGTTTTCCAGTTTCCACCCTCTTGAACCAAGAAAGCGCTCCCGCCTCAAGGCGCTCGATGTAGGTCACTGTGTTGAGTCTGAGGCTCTGTCGGAAGATGAATGGAAGCATAACGTTGTCATAACTGGTGATCACTTCAAACAACATGATGTTAACTGAATATTTGATTTTTCATCCCTTTCTGTACGTCTTTTGGGTACACAGCAAGCCAACGGTTGTTCTGAAATGTTTGCGTTGAAGCTTCCAGTGTAAATGCCAAGTGGTACGCCATGTCGTTTCCAAATTTCTGGCAGAGTGAATTTTGTCATGGTGCCCCTTTTTCTTCTCACAGACGGTGCCCAAACTGATCCTATTATACCGTGCAGTCGACAATATCAGAAACAAACAACGTTCACGCGCAAAATAAAACATATAAAAAATGCGACAATTTACCCATCGCACCCTGTCGATGAGTTAAAAAGACAAACACGCATATTTGTGAAACAAGATGACCTACCAATTGAAATGGAAGAACTAAAAATCCTAGAATTATTTCCATCTTTGATTTGGACCAAAAAAAAAAAAAATTCACAAAATAATAAAATCAACAAAATATTACGTCATCAAACGATGGATTTCATGTGCAACAGATAGTGAAATGGGGGAATTTTCAACTTGTGGCACATACTTTTGTCCACGCCCGAAGTTTGTGTATACATGGAAAAGAAGGACATTCAAAATATGTTCAGAGTAGAATATAATGGTCAGAGGTCAACGTTTTTTTTTAATACCCAGCTTCCCCACAAGATAGCACGTCGGTGCTATTTGCTATCCATACGGCGAAATGATAGAAGTAATCCCGGGGCATAAAATGGCGCCGGGGGTTGGCTTATACCAGATCGTAACGATTTCAATGCATTCCCTAATGTCACGCTGCTAAATGGATGTAAAATTCAAGTTATATTATCAGCAAGGATGGCTGCATGTTGGTTGTGTGGGTTGACGGGAGATTTATCTGTAGTATGTCTCTGGGGAAAAAACGCAGAGAAAAGCAAGATTATTCAAAACCCACACCATTTTTGCACCAACCTAATACATTAAAACAGACCAAAACCTCAACACCACACTTAATTTCTCTCACTATCTAAAGAACAAAAAAATCTCCTGCTTCATCTAGGCCTTCTACTTCTGATTCTTTTCCTCCACTAGAATCGGTGCCGCCTCCACTTCCACCATCCTTGCCACTCCCAATACAGACATCACAAATATCCCCACTCCCAGAAAAAAAGGATCTCTTCTGTCGAAATCTCCAAGGAGAAAAACACGTAGAAAACAAAACGTGTTCTGTGTGGACCGGGACTTCCTTGAGAAGAATAATCTCTAGTCAAAGCTTCTAAGGGAATTAAGGGTCCTCCAATATTTCAAAAGATTGAATGGGGAAGATGTAGAGGAACCCTGAATCTTTCCTCGGGTGGGAGGATTGTTGACAGTGGTGCCTTGCCAATCGGGGTTCGCAGCAAATTTCGTCAAATGCCAACGGAGGCGAACTCCTCTTTTGGTATCACTCCTCCACTGATCATATTTCAGTATTAAAAGCGTTCCAAATCGTTTGGAAAGCGTGCTGACTTCTTCAGTTTGTGATGTCGAAACGGGTTTATTTTAGTAGGTGATTGGAAAGCTGCCATTGATCCAGAGTTAGATCGCGGAGATGCTGGTAGGGGTAGTAACATTCGTTTTTTGGTAAAAAGTCTGTCGTGAGTTTTTCCACTAGACACAATCTGGTTGATAGGTTCAGAAATGAATATCCGAGGCGGGTGCAGTGGAATTGGACATTAGTGTTCGCCAAACTCTCTGTGTTTGGAAACACACTACTTGTCGGCCGCTCCCCCTCCGGGCAGAGAGGAACCCAGACGAGAATATACAGAAGGGCAGAGTCTTGTCTGAGGAGGCAGACATACTCGACCGCGTTATTACAAGGTCTATAGAGAACTTTTGCCCAGGCCTACGTACTCGGAACGCCCGGCGTAAAAAAAAAGTTCTTGTACCACATCCAGCCTTGGGGGAAGGACTTTGGTAAATCCAGAATAGACTCGGGCATATATAATGGCACGATGCAGCATTCTGGCTACATTGAGCTGTTTCTGGCTAGGAGCGTCAATTTAGATCTCCTAGGTTGTCCAAGCTTCTATAGTGTAGTGTACTTGCATTATTTATATTATTCGGAGTGTTATCTTCATCTTCATTGCCATATTCACAACGTTTCGGCCATTGTACGCTCCGACCTACTTCAGGTGATTGGAATTTCAAACATAACCCTTTATTTTGTCCACCGAATATCTCAGTTATTTCCCTTTAACACAAATCGCTATGTTTTGGTTGACTACTGCTGAATTGAACTCACAACTCTTTGGGTCTAGTCACTGGATCAACTTCTTTATCCTCTCAGCCATGTGTCCTTGCGATGAAGATTAGGATAACAGCCCGAATATTGTAAATAATGCAAGAAATCAATATACCTTATCTCAGAGATCTAGACAGATATGCTAGTTTATTCGGATCATCGGCTTGTCCATATCCGTATAAACTTAGATAAGTCTAAGGCTAAAATGACCAGATACTGGAAATTTAATTCTTATTCATTGAACGTAAAGGATTTCTGGGCCCAGTAAGTGGTGGCGATACCTTAAGGACAAAATTAGGTTCTATTCTACTGATTATAGTAGACAATGGCAACTAGATAGATAGCGGCGCCAAAGGCTGTAGAATCTAGAATAGAAGGCACTGCCAAATCGGGAGATAGTGATAACGTAGATACAGCTAAGTTTGAGCTAGCCTTTTTGCTTAACGTGTGTGACAAAGCTCAGGTCGTTAAATCTAGATTAAATAGAATGTCTTACGAGGCAACGAATATGGCCACAAAATTGCGTGCGGAGGAACTTGACAGCGCCTCTGATCGGCATATCGCTTGCGTCATATCGACGGATGGAAGGAGCATGAGAACGGACGAGGGCATATGTAGAGAGTTTTGTTATTACTTTCAGAAGGAAGCTAGGTCAAAGTCTGGCTCAGTTCGACAATTTGGCTGACTTCCTTCGCAACGAAGCGACGGAAGAGGCAGGTTGCTAGGATCTCATAACGGAGGAGGAAATCTGAAAGTTAGAAAAGATATGATTCCTGGCATCTAGGGTTTACTCTACGAAGTGTAATTGAGGTTGTCGTCCATGTTTATCCTCTTGCTGGAAATCCTCTTTAGCCACTTGAGCAACAGAAATCTATTATGCGATGCGGCGAATCTTTTACACAAGAACAAACATGGAGTGTACGGGATTGGTCATTTTCGAACCTTAAAGGTGCTAAATGCAGAGTTAAAGAATTTGGCCAAGGTCCAAGCCAACCGTTTACAGGTTATGCTGGATCGTCTCGTATTCCCTGAACAGACATGCTCATAGAGAAAGTCAGCGGAAAAGCCGTGCTGATCAATTTGGTTCTGATAGGGTGAACGATCGTCCGTAGAGGGTTTTTTTTCGGCGGCTGGATTCATGCCGAACTTTAACTCCTGGATTCAACTCTTGTATGTGGTCCCCGGTGCCGGGGGGTGGAAGTAAACGGTGTGAGATCGAAACCTTTCACATCCTTCTACCACTTTTCTTTTCATGTCAATTTTTGTGCAAAATCTGTGGATCACAGAGCCTTGATATTTTTGTCACTTCTCATTTGTCAGTTAATTTTAAAATCATGTTCTCACCTACGTCCGTACAACGTTATTCAAAACCATTTTTCCGACCAAATCTGTCTATGCCTTTCTGGGCCTATCACGTGATTACGTTCATTATAAATACCTTGACACAAGTTCTTTCTTCCTCCTTTTGATTTCTCTCGCTTACTAAAATGTTCCTGCTTAGAGAAATCGCGTTCCGACCTCTTTCGGACGGACGCTATGAAAACCTATTCTCACACGAACACATACATGTACGCACGGAAACATAATTACAGATATTACGAGCATTCCAGAACATTACAAGCATCGGCATATTATGAATATTCAACTACGATCAACGGAAATTAATTAAACATTACGGAACAGTCACTCCTTCAACACTTCTGAAGCTAAAAGTTTAACAACATATTCTCATCTTTACAGAATTCTTTTAACTCTCACACGGTGAACATTTTAAATAGTAAGTTCATTCAACTTTCCATGAGCTCAGATAAAAAATATTTCCATAGTAAAGACTTTAATTCCAGTCAAAGGGAAGTAACTCCTATTAATCATCCTTGTATATCATTGACACTCATAAATATAAATATTGTTTGTTCTTTTTATAAAACCGTTAAGTTCCTTCTTGTTTCATATTTTGTGGTATTTTGCGTTAAATATAAATCTGGGAGGTCACACCAACTAACAGACCTTTACAAGCCCTTTACCTTGTTCAGATCTATTAGTCCGTGTTGCCCCTTTTCGCTCTTTCTCTGGAGTCTTTCCTGTGAAAGTTAAAGGCGAATCCGGTCCTTGGAGAGATAAACTTGTCTAGTCTTACCATCTCGGCCAGATACACCATCTACGCCGACAATGTATCTTCTGTTGTAACAAGCATTGCCGAGAAATCGGAAGAGATATAAAACGCTCACAGGGGCCATGATTAACTGCGATAAGTCTGTTGGTTTGTGATGGAAAAGTATGTGAAAAAGTTCGCCTCTCCCGGGCTCCTTCAGTTAGACGGACGGGCCGTACAGGATATTAGGCGTCTGTCTGGGATCCCGACCTCGAGTTGGAAAAGTATTGGCCTGAGGTTCTGGGGATGGTCGTACCCGAAGTTAATCTGTAGCTGTAAAGGAATCTTTCATTGAAGTGGATGTCCGACATGTGCGTTATTTACATCAGTTCCTTCATCCTTTAGCGTCTTTCAGATCTTCCATTCCCGTCCGCACACCCTAGTCCTAGTGGAATCTTTGTTTCGCCTCCTCTACGCCTGCAGACCTCCTATGGTGCGTCGCGATGTCTGTTAGGTCCATCCGTCCGAGAGTGGTCTTGGAATGCCGGATGGCATAGAGACACTTTGAGATACATTGTCATTGCATTTTCTTGATCGGATATGTACACAGAACGACAAGTACGGTAGCTTCTGAAAGGAAGATGCCCAAAACAGCTCAAACAGTTTTCCTGTCATTGCAGAGCCTGCTCTCGGTTGAGCGAAGTGGTGGTGGTGGCGGCGGGGTAATCATTTGTCCCGAGACGAGTAACCCTTTTTACTGCGAATGCGGTCATACTCTGAAAGTTCTTTTTTTGGATAAGCTTCTCAAAGATCCGGACGTTTTAGAGAAAGGGCGTTTACGATAATCTGATCGAGGTGTTCTCTTGGACAGGTATATTTAGTTCGGTATGTCCTTGGACACCTGGGTTGAAATGCCTCACTAATAGCGAGTTATGACTCACCTGGCTGACAAGTCGGCATGTCTTCTGCATCGGTAAATGTTCTTTCGTTGTGGGACTGGTTAATTTGCTAGGATGCGCCAAATGTAGAGTAATGGAGGAGTCTATCGCTCTCACCTTTTTTCATTGATTGGTCGTTTGCCGACTGTATGAGCTTATTGAATTTACATGGTTCGCATGCTGCACGGACAATTCTTCCTCTTGGATGCTAGTTTTATTTGTAGGAATATGACCTCGTTTTCAGCCGGGATGATGCACTATACCCTTCTGTGCTTTGTAGCTGTTATTCAAATATTGGTATGAGAATGAGAATGGACGAAGTCTGCGCGGCATCGCCTTTCTCTTCCCATTGTCGAGTTGCGTTCCTTAATCATTTGCTGAAGTTCAACATAAGGAAGAGGATTTCTTCCGGGAACTCTGCTGAAAGGTGGATGAAAGTTGCGAGTGAATGAGACTCCAGTGCCATCTCGAGCTGATTGGTTGAAGGACTTGTTCCTTCAGGAAAAAAAAAATATCTGCCCACAACAGAGTAGAATATTTTGCTCTTGTTTTTCTAAAAAAAGTGTTTGACCGAACTAGGCAATGAATGGTCATCGCTCCCCTTCTATTTTAGTCCCCCGTATCCTCCGTTTTTTCATCCCCTTCCCCTAGACCCTTGTAGATGAATGAAGGCACAGTTCTCTGGAGCGGTGAGAATATTTGTTTAATTATATTTGTTTAATTATATTTGTTATCCGAGTGGAGAGACACATACTATTTTATTTTAATCTCATTATATATCATTTCATTCTTATCACGGGGAATCATTTTATATAAATGAAAAACATGTTTTTCTTATGTTTTATGAATAGGGTATATTAGGGTTAGAATTACATAGAGTTGTTTTACTGATAGTTGTGTGTATTTATAATTATATGTGGTATTACGGTGTGATACCATAAAAAATGTAGAGCTCAGTAGATGTGATTACTTAAGATAGAAAAAATAATAGCCGGTTTTTCCCAATCCTCCTTTTGGCGTTGTAACACATTTTTTTTTTTGTTTGCAAGAATATTGTGCTGACGCGTAAGACTTGATTACCGGGGTTATTTGTTTGAGTGAAAGTCGCAGTGATATCTTACGTTACTTGAAATTCGTTCCGCCTTGCTGGTTTTTAGTGTCTCAGCTACGTTCACCCCTTACATGGGGACATCCTGTTGGTGTCCTGCCATTCTATATCCGGTATTCGGCTCCTTTAGTCTTTGTTTCTGGTGTTGCTAAATGTTTACCATCTCTCCTGAGACGGTTATTGTTGAAACTTGACTAATGCATGGAATAATAATGCGACACAAAAAGGTACTTAGAACAAAATGTATTGAAACAAGAAAGTGTACACAATATTTACATATAATCTTTTGTATATTCCTGGTAAGACCGTTCCTGGAGAATGTGTTGACTGAGTCGCAGTCGGGCAGAGTCTCTGGATGAATCTCTTGATTCCTCCCTCTCTTCCCGGTACCAACCATATTTATATGGTCGGTACTCCACTATGCAAATTAGGTGGATCCTATCACAACAGTTATATTTTGCAGATAACCAACCAATAAGAAGAAAAAAAAACAAGTATGTTAAAGAGAAGGATAGAATTGACGCTGACGCATTTGTTGGCAATCTATAAGGAAAATGCTTTGTAAATAAACATTTAGGTTCATCTTATATATAAAGTAAAGTGTGTGTGTTTGTACGTGTGTGTGTCCAATCAACTATCAATGAACCGATTTCAATGATTCATAGTTCATTCAAAAGCCCTAGGAAAGTGAGGCGCATGGAATGATTTTCGTTGAGCTCAGATTCAGTGTTGCCAGATTATGTAAGATTAAAAATGTATATTAATATATTATACGAGCCATTATCGTTACTTTCCTGGTTAAAGAGGAATAAGTTTTAGTTTCCTTTTGAATCCAAAATTGCAGCTAGCTTAAAATTTTAAGCTAGCTAAATTTTTAAGAGCACTCTGCCCAAAGACAGAGACGCAACTGAGAGACGATAAATACACGTGTTACACACTACTCAAGAGTAATTTGTATTTATTCTCTCCCTTTTCGATGCCGGGTTGTGACTCAAGGTCGGTTTAATGTGAGGAGACCAAGCGCGTACACCCGGGCTAGGAACAATAATTGCCGCAGCTCCCGCAGCCATCTGTTGCGCTGGCCTCGGTGCGAGCACCGATCTCTCTCTCTCTCTCTGTTTCATTGAGAGGGTACGGCCTCAGGCTGCTGTTGCTCAGGGCTGGGCACCCCTCAGTATAATTTTCCTCATTTAAGACTCTGTCCTTTGACTTGTCCTTCCGTCATTACATTACAATTGTTGTCTTTCCTTCATCTTTTTACATGCATCTGTCTTTTATTCCATTTTCTCTTAATTCGTTATTTCATCTCCATTTTTTGAATCATACATTCACATCCTTCATTCCTTCTTTGTTTTTGTTATTCTTTTTTTTTTTTACTTGTATCACTCTTTGTTTCGTTCCTTCTCTCTTTCTTGGATTAATTCCGTCACTCTTTTTTAGATCCCTTCCCCTCTTCTTGAATTCATTCTTGAATTCCTTCGTTCATTCCCTCTTTCTTTTTGGGTACGTTCCTTCCTTTATTTCTCTCTGAGATTCCTTAGTTCGTTTTTTCATTCATAATTTCTTTGATTCCTGTCTTTGTTCGTTCCTTATTTTTTTTCTTGTATTCATTCGTTCTTTCGTTTTTCTTTGTTTCTTTCGTTCTTTCTTTCCTTTTTTTCTTTCTTGGTTTTCTTCGTTCGTTACTTCCTTCTTTCTTTCTTGGATTCCATCGTTTGTCCTTTTTGTCTTTTGGGGTTCATTCCTTATTTTTGTTCTTTCTAAGATTCCTTCGTTCGTTCTTCTTAATTTCTTCTATTCTTGCGGTGTTCGTTCCTTCTTTTTTCTTGGATTTCTTCGTTTGCACTTTCCTTTTTACTTTCTTAAATGCCTTCGTTTTTCTTTCCTTTTTTCTTTCTTGGATTCTTTCGTTCGTTACTTCCATCTTTTTATATTGAATTTCATTTGTTAGTTCCTTTTTTCTTTCTTGGTCCGTTCCTCATTTTTTTTCTTTCTAAGATTCTTTCGTTCGTTCTTTCCTTCATAATTTCTTGGATTCATGCGTTCGTTCGTCCTTTCTTGTTTTTCTAGGATTCCTTTGTTCACTCGTTTCTTTTTTCTTTCTTGAATCCATCGTTCTTTCATTCGTTTTTGATTTCTTGTTATTCTTCGTTAGTTCCTTTTTTTTCTTTCTTGGATTCATTCGTTCGTTATTTCTTTCTTTTTGTTCGTCCATTTTTTTTAAAGATTCCTTTGTTCATTCTTTCCTTCGTTCGCTTGTTCCTTTATTCTTTCTTGGATTTCTTCCTCCGCTCGTTTCTTTTTTCTTTCTTAAATCCCATCATTCTTTCGTTCCCGCTTTCTTTCTTGGATTCCTTCGTTCCAGTCTTCTTTCTTTCTTTTTTACTTTCTTCTTTCCATTTCTCTTTTTTTTTTTTTTTTGTCGATTTTAG